TGACTTATTGATAAACATTAAACTGAGTTGTGACACACCATATTACATATTTATATTAATATCATCAGTAATAAGATGGATTATTATTTCTTCTAATTATAATTTCTGGTAGATATACCTTAAGTCTTAATCCTTTTGGGGATGTAATACTTATTGATTAATTTAGCTTTCCAGTATTTTTTCTTCAGAAATACTTTTATATCTACCTAGAAATAATAAAAGTTATTATTTATTTTAATTGTTCAAACTGCTTTAAAGTTTAGATTGATTCTAGATTAACTTTATTTTTTTATTTTTGACATATCTTTTTATTATTTTTGTTATTAAATACATCTTTACTATTTATGAACTAAAACAATCAAATTTGTAGAATATTTTTTAATGTAGCATCATTTAAATCTTTATACAATTCATTAATAACAGTTTTCTGACTACAGATAGATTTTTTTAATATTTATGTAAAAGAGTTTAGAAAAAACTTTGTAAAAACATTTCAGAATCTATCTTAAGTAGTGAAGATGAAGAGTTGAACTAATAAAGACTTATTTATAAAATAAGAAAATTATTGTATTTATATTTTAATGATGTTGATAATTATCAAATTCAATTTTAAGATAAGCTTTCAAGAAAATAGCTTCCTTTTTGTTTCAATAATGTTTTTAAATCAATACCTGACTGATTAATAAACTCTCCTTACAGAATTAAAGCTCCTTTAGCTTAAAATATTGACTCTTAGGATATTAGGCTTATAGTTATATAATTAGAGACTTAAAATATAGAAAATATAAATACTACCTTCTGAAATAGGACAATTTTATTGGGGTGGAATCTCTTATGATACATCTTTGTAATCTTTATCGGTGGATTTAATTTCTTATCCTGTTTTGACATCCCATAGACGGATAGAGTTATCTTGACTACCAGAAGCTAATGTATTTCCATCAGGAGAGTAACAGACTGAATAGACCCAACTAGTATGACCATCTAATTTGGCTTTTTATTATCCTGTTTTGACATCCCATAGACGGATAGACTTATCATAACTACCAGAAGCTAATGTATTTCCATCAGGAGAGAAACAGACTGAGTAGACATTATGAGTATGACCATCTAATTTGGCTTTTTATTATCCTGTTTTGACATCCCATAGACGGATAGACTTATCATCACTACCAGAAGCTAATGTATTTCCATCAGGAGAGAAACAGACTGAGTAGACAGTACTAGTATGACCATCTAATTTGGCTTTTTATTATCCTGTTTTGACATCCCATAGACGGATAGACTTATCATCACTACCAGAAGCTAATGTATTTCCATCAGGAGAGAAACAGACTGAGTAGACAGTACTAGTATGACCATCTAATTTGGCTTTTTATTATCCTGTTTTGACATCCCATAGACGGATAGACTTATCATCACTACCAGAAGCTAATGTATTTCCATCAGGAGAGAAACAGACTGAGTAGACAGTACTAGTATGACCATCTAATTTGGCTTTTTATTATCCTGTTTTGACATCCCATAGACGGATAGACTTATCATCACTACCAGAAGCTAATGTATTTCCATCAGGAGAGAAACAGACTGAGTAGACAGTACTAGTATGACCATCTAATTTGGCTTTTTATTATCCTGTTTTGACATCCCATAGACGGATAGACTTATCATCACTACCAGAAGCTAATGTATTTCCATCAGGAGAGAAACAGACTGAGTAGACAGTACTAGTATGACCATCTAATTTGGCTTTTTATTATCCTGTTTTGACATCCCATAGACGGATAGACTTATCATCACTACCAGAAGCTAATGTATTTCCATCAGGAGAGAAACAGACTGAGTAGACAGTACTAGTATGACCATCTAATTTGGCTTTTTATTATCCTGTTTTGACATCCCATAGACGGATAGACTTATCATCACTACCAGAAGCTAATGTATTTCCATCAGGAGAGAAACAGACTGAGTAGACAGTACTAGTATGACCATCTAATTTGGCTTTTTATTATCCTGTTTTGACATCCCATAGACGGATAGACTTATCATCACTACCAGAAGCTAATGTATTTCCATCAGGAGAGAAACAGACTGAGTAGACAGTACTAGTATGACCATCTAATTTGGCTTTTTATTATCCTGTTTTGACATCCCATAGACGGATAGACTTATCATCACTACCAGAAGCTAATGTATTTCCATCAGGAGAGAAACAGACTGAGTAGACAGTACTAGTATGACCATCTAATTTGGCTTTTTATTATCCTGTTTTGACATCCCATAGACGGATAGACTTATCATCACTACCAGAAGCTAATGTATTTCCATCAGGAGAGAAACAGACTGAGTAGACAGTACTAGTATGACCATCTAATTTGGCTTTTTATTATCCTGTTTTGACATCCCATAGACGGATAGACTTATCATCACTACCAGAAGCTAATGTATTTCCATCAGGAGAGAAACAGACTGAGTAGACAGTACTAGTATGACCATCTAATTTGGCTTTTTATTATCCTGTTTTGACATCCCATAGACGGATAGACTTATCATCACTACCAGAAGCTAATGTATTTCCATCAGGAGAGAAACAGACTTAGTAGATATAATTAGTATGACCATCTAATTTGGCTATTTTTTTCTTAGTTTTGGCATCCCATAGGCGGATAGAGTTATCTTGACTACCAGAAGCTAATGTATTTCCATTAGGAGAGAAACAGACTGACTAGACATAACTAGTATGACCATCTAATTTGGCTTTTTATTATCCTGTTTTCACATCCCATAGACGGATAGACTTATCATCACTACCAGAAGCTAATGTATTTCCATCAGGAGAGAAACAAACTGAGGTGATAGCACTAGTATGACCATTTAATTTATTTAATTCATGGATTTTTAATTCTTTCCATCTACAATTAAATAATAATGCTCCATTAAAATTTATTCCATTTATGTTGATATTATTAAATTAGGATCCACTTAAGTTGCACCTAAAAAAATTGCCTCCTGCCAAGGAAGTATTTTAGATCTTAATATTTTCAAATTTTTTGTTTCTAAGGTCCACCATCATCTAAACTAATAAATGTAATGAATTCGACCCACCCTATATGAAAGCTTCATCAATGGATGTAAGGAGAACTAAAAATTGCAAAAATTCTATGATCTAATTATTATCCTTGATGCTATTAATTAGAATTAATTTAGATTCTTCATTTTCTTCAGAGGAAAAGTCTTTGTTGTTGAAGTCATGATCTTTTAATTTTCTTAAGACATCTGTAATTTACTTCTTGTCATTTCCGATAACAGACAATTTCTATTATGTATCAACTTGGGTGAAATTTCCTACTTGTTATAAAATTTATGATTCTAATGATCTCTGATTCCCAATATCTGATAGAAATCCAATAATGTCTTAAGCTTTTTCCTTCCTTAATATTTCTAATATTGCCCCAAAAATTTGTATATCTACATCTTTTATTAAATTAAAGATGTCAGCGAGAGCTTGCTTCTCTTAAAAAGAGTCTTGCATTTTCTTTTTTATTTTAATAATGAATTTCTATTACTCTAAATTTAAGTTATATACTGCAAAATCGATAAAAGTATCTTGTGCATTTAAGTAAAATAGAAGTTCAGACTTTGTGCAGATTTCAAATTGATTCTAATAGAGGCGATCAAATTCATCATTAGGTACGATACATCCTTAAAAATGATTAAAATAATTGTTTTTTTAATTCAAATTACAAATAAACTCCATAAAGGATTAGAATCCAAAGGGGTACGGGGTACAAATAACATGAATCTACCCAATCATCATAAAATAATCTAAACTAAGCTCAAAACTATAAATGAAAAATGTACAATTTATAATCATATTGATCAAGTAAATCAAATATATAAAAAGAAAAAATGCTTCTGGATAGTTTTTATTTATAATTACATTTTAAAACAATATTCTATAAATTAGCAAAGCCCTACATTAAATTGACCAAAATTATGTATTAAATTCACAATAAAAATATTTTCATTTCCTTAAATCATTTATTTGAGTAGAAGTAATGGAAAGTTGTGTACAACTAGCCATTAGGATAAAGAATAATCTAATAAGAGCATTAAAGCTGTTTACAATTTCTAATAAATTTATAAATTAATAATTTTGAAATAACAATAATTTACCTAAAAGAGGCTATAGAATTGCTTAATTAACATTTTCTATTCCTAAATTGAAATATTCAATTAATTTTAAGGTATTTCTGATTTGAATTGGAAAAGTATATTAATAAAATATTGTTTAGTGTCTTATAATCTATATGGAGTGGGGATTTTTATATATATAGAAGAACAAGAGTACTTCTAATTGAAACAATTATTAGATTATTTAGTTTAAAGTATATACGAAATAATGGCGAATATAGTTTGGATGATAAACGAATCGCAATAAAGCATATTTTATAAATAAAAATTAATCTTTTGAATTAATAATTTTTTGAAGGAGTGTTATACATTCAGAAGGTCTTTATAGTATAAATTTTTTTATTTGTTACATTTAAAGAAAATTCATTAAAAAACCTTTATTCTGTAAATTAATATAGACTAGCCTTGGGTCACTGAATTTATTAGTTTATGTTGATAGTTTCTTCTGGAATTAAAAGTGGATTCAAGTGCTCTATATATTGCTAAAAAAATATTACGATCTATTTTTCAATTAAGCTTTTGATATAATCAAAAGGAATTATCTCAATTTTTTTTGATGCTTAATTTAATCTAAAATACCTAAAGATCATAAATAAATATTTCAACAAAATCAGTACTATGAATAAATGGAAATTTTATCACTAAAAAAGCATCAATAAACAGATTTAGAGAGCCAAAGATATCACTTTATTATTTAATCTTTCAACCTCATATTTAATCATGTAGATAAATCAAATTTATTCAATTTAGTCATAATTTAAGGCTTTTTATTAATTGTTAATAGCTAATAAATAATTAGGCTCAATCCTATCAATGATGCTTTCAAAAAAGTATGTTATAACCAAAATAAGTCAAAATGAGAATCATTAGAGCTCTTTTACTTAATTTTTATTTATTCCCAATAATAACTTTCTTTTTCATATTCATTATAAAGATAACAAATATGAGGCCTGAATATGTAATCATCCTAATCATTTCATTAATAAAAATAACGAAAAAGGATTTTAACAACCAAAAACTATTAATCCAGGAAGAACCAAACTCATAATCCATTAAGAATGAGTTTCTGTATTAAATTCTAATTATAGATTTCCAGATATATATTAAATGTTTGCATTTTCTCTGTATGAAACCACAGAACATAACCTAATTTTAATTTAATACATTTGATAAATCCAGCATAATTAAAAATATACAAGCAAAGTAAGGTATTAGAAACGATGTTTAATTTAAATTTTAAATTAGTAACAATTGAAAATATTATTAATCCGATAATTATGGTAACAAATTGCATTATAATTAA